GGGGGCGCCCAGCCGCCTCACCTTTCTCGCAGTGTTTGCCGTAGAAGCCGCGCGGGCACTCGCACGTGTAGGAGTCCTCGTGGGCGTCACAGGAGCCTCCGTTGAAGCAGGGGTCCGAGTCACAGGGCGATGGCAGGGCTGCGGGGGGCGGGGGCGGGTGGGCAGAGGACGGTCCTGGAGCACGTGCCGCATCCCGAGCGGGCGGCAGGTGCTGGCTGCGGGCACTGACCGCGGGCACCACCCCTGCCAGGCTGCCCTGCCGTCCTGTCTGGAACCAAGGCCACTTCAATATGCTCTGTGGGGCTCGATCCTCCTGATGCCAGCGTCTCTTGTGATTCCACCAAAACTCAGCCTCCCTGTTGCTGCCCTCATTGCCATTATCGTTTTAACTGCGCACCGGGCAGGCAGTTGTTAACGACCACTAATGTTTACCGGATACATAGATTGTTGGTTTTAGGTGCCGCCAAGCCGGCCCCTGATTCCCAGTGATTCATGCACAGCAGGATCGGACCGCTGTGACCCACAGGGTTCTCACTGGCTGATTTTCAGAAGTAGATCGCCAGGCCTTTCTTCCTAGTCTGTTTTAGTGTGGAAGCTCCGCTGACACCTGTTCAACATCATAGCAACCCACAAGCCCCCACTGACAGACGGTGGTGCCTGCACACGGGGCACACCAGCCGGGGTCTCCCGCATGGAAGGCGGGGATTCTGCTGCTCAGCTGCCACTGCCCTTTTGTGTTTAATTACATAATTAATTACATACTATAGTACTATTATGTTCCTAGGTGGTGCAAACAGTTACGTGCTCAGCTGCTAACCAAAAGGCTGAGGTTCAAGTCCACCCAGAAGTGCCTTGAAAGAAAGGCCTGGTGGTCTATTTCTGAAAAATCAGCCCTTGGAAACCCCGTGGAGCACAGCTCTGCTCTGACACATGTGGGGTCGCCACAAGTTGATTTTTTTTATTGCTAATTATCGTAATAGCTTATGCTGGGGGCTCAGGAAGACCCTCACGGCCCTTCACAGTTTCCACAGTGCCTCTCCATCGGGAGCTTACGTGAGCGGAGCAGAGCTGCTCTCCAGCCCGTGTGCAGTTGTGACAGTGGCTTGGGACTTGCACGTTCTCACTGCAAGTTGGCAGGGAGGCCGGGAGAAGCCCGATTCCAGAGCCCCCGGCTAGGACTCCTGGAAAGACCCTATCACTGGCCACTGACCAGCCCCAGCCCGCAGCCCACCCGTGGCTGCCCTGCTCACAGTGGCTGGCATTGTGGTCCGTGTGGCAGACGCAGAGGTAGGTCCCGCCGTACTCCATGCAGTAGCCCCCGTCGGGGCACTGGGTGTTCATGTTGCAGGGCGTGGCCGTGACTTCTGCAGAGAAGAGGGGAGCCCCGCCCCACACCCCACGTGTCTTCCTGGGGACCTCGTGTCCCAGGACCCAGGGCCCCCACAGGGGCAGCCAGGTTCAGGCACACTGTGGCCCGTGCCCTCCTGGGGTTGGGGTTGGGGTGGGGCTATATGAAGGACAGCAGCCGAGGGTCTGGACCTGTGGGGTGGACCCAGGCCCAAGTCCCGTTCACTCATTTGCCAGTCCACCCACCTGTGCCCCTGCCCATTTGTACCAGTTACGGGGATGCTGAGGGGCAGGGTAGGGAGGGGGGATGCCAAGGGACAGGGCAGAGGGGGGATGCCGAGGGACAAGCAGGGAGGGGATATGCCGAGGGACAGGGCAGAGGGGGGATGCCGAGGGACAGGCAGGGAGAGGGGATGCCGAGGGACAGGCAGGGAGGGGGGATGCCGAGGGACAGGCGGGGAGGGGAGATGCTAAGGGACAGGCAGGGAGGGGGATGCCGAGGGACAGGCGGGGGCCCCCTGCTGCCTCCCAGCCACGTACCAAGCTCGCAGAGCAGCCCGAAGAAGCCCGGGGGGCACTGGCAGAGGGTAGTGTTGGCACCCAGGCACCTGCCTCCGTTGCGGCATTCACAGTCATCGGAGAGTCCTGCCACAGAGGGGGGCTCCCATGGGGTGACCCCACCTGCCCTGCTGCTGCCCACCTTCCCATAAAAACCCTGTGTCCACACACTCACACACGCAGGGTGTGGCCGTGACTTCTGCAGAGACGGGAGGGGCTTTGCCCCACACTCCGCGTGTCTCCTGGGGACCTCATGTCCCAGGACCCAGGGCTCTCACAGGGCGGCCAGGTTTCGGCACACTGTGGCCGCTGCCCTCCGTGCACACACTTGCACACACGTACGCTTACACACGTTCACACATGCTCTCTCTCGGGGGTGTTTGTATGCACACACATACGCCTTCTGGACCCTTACTGAGTCTGCTGCCTGCAGACAAGCCCTGGGTCTCCCGCCCCAAGCCCCGCAGCCCCCACAGCCCCGACCCACACGCACTCTCCCCGCAGTCGAGGCCCACGAAGCCCCCAGGGCACTCGCACACGTAGCCCTGGTCAGCGTCCACACAGGTGCCCCCATTCTGGCAGGGGGCCGAGAGACAGGCATCCGGCTCCGGGTGGATTCCTGCAAGAAAGACAGGCATGATCACTCGTGGCCCAGGGCAGAGAGTCTGGGGAGGGTGGGGCCTGAGGACCGGGAGGGGCTGGCCTCCTGCCCAGCTCCCCCAGTACTTGGCAGGGTCTTAGCTGATGTCCTCAGGGCCAAGCGGAATTAAAGCTGGAGGCTTGTTTTTGGAAACTGACTTATAGCTGCCCCTCACCCCTGATCTCAGTGTCACTGGGCCCTCCCTGGAACAGAAGGAGAAGCAGGAGCAAGAAGGGGGCCCATGGTATGCCCCAAAGGGCCTGCTGTAGGCCAGGGCATTTCAGAGATTTGGACAAGCACCTCTATTAGTACAATATTGGGGATTTTCCGGATAGCTTTCTGTTGTTGATTTCCAGCTTGACTTTTCTGTGCTCACAGAACACAGTCATTTTAAATGGACTGGTCCTCATTTTATGGTGCACCGTATGGTCTGTCAGGTTGACTGGGCCCCGTGCACCTGATGAGAACGTGTACATAAATGTCATCAGCTCACATTGGCCAACAGTGCTGGGCACGTCTCCTGTATCCTGCCGATTCCTGTCTACGTGTTCTGAGAGTCACTGAGAATGGTGTTGAAATCGCCACCATGAATGGTGGATCTGCTTCTCCTCGCAGTTTTGTCCATTTCTGCTGCATGTATTCTGATCATCTGTTAATAGGTACGAGTATATTTAGGGTGGTTATGTCTTCTTGATGAACTGGCCCCTTTATCATTATGAAAGGTCCCTCACCGTTTCTAGTACTATTCCTTAGCCTAAGGTTTAATTTGTTTGATATTAATATAGCCACTCAGCCTTTTGATTAGCGTTGGCCAACCTGTTACTTTTTATTTTTTCATTTCTTTATATCCTTTAAAATGTATCTTTTAAATCAATATACAGTAAAATTGGCTTTGTTTGGGGTACAGTTCTATGAATTTTGACACGTGTAGATTTGTGATCAGGATACGTAACAATTCTATCGCACCGAAGACCTCCTTCTACCTCTTTAGAGTCACGCTCTGGCCCCACTGCTGAAGGCCTGGCAGCCACTGGTCTGTGCTCCATCGGTTTAGCTCTGTCTTTCCAGAAGCCACAACATGGAGGCGTATACAGTACGTCAGCCTTCGAGACTGGCTTCTCACTCGGTGTGATGCAATGCTTCGGATCCATCCAGGTTCTCGTGTCAATAATCAGCTCGTGTTTTATGACTGAGCAGGAGTCCGTGGTATGGATGCACCACAGTTTGTTTATCCATTCACCCAGTAAAGGATACCTGGGTTGTTCCTAGTTTGGGGCAGTTATGAATAGATGTGCTATAAACATTCACATACAGGTTTTTGTGTGAATATAGTTTTCATTTCTTCAGGGATAATACCTAGCAGTAGGATTGCTGGTCATATTGTAAGTACATGTTTAACTTTGTATATATAAAAAAAGCCGAACTGTTTTCAGAGTGACCAAACCGTTTTAAATCTGCACTGACAATGTATGATGGTTCCAGTTGCTCTGCATCCTCGCCAGCTAGGGTGATTTTTTGTTTGTTTGTTTGTTTGTTTTTTAACCATTCTGGTAAGCTTGTAATGGCATCTCACCATAAGCTTACTTTGCATTTCAGTAATGGCTAATGACAGGGGCAAATAAGTCTGAACAATTGTGCCTACTTGCCTTCCATATGTACTCTTTGGTGAAGCATCTGTTCAAGTCTTTTGTCCATTTTTTAACTGGGTTGTTTATTTTCTTACTGTTGAGATTTGAGTTCTTTATATTCTGTATACAAGACCTTTGCTGGTTGTGAGTTTTATGAACATTTTCTTTCAGTCTGTAGCTTGTCTCTTCATTCTCTCAACCATGATTTTCATAGGCAAAAGTTTTTAATTTTGAAGCAGCTTTAAAATTTTGATGAATTCCAGTCTATCGATTTTTCCCATTTATGGGTCATGATTTTGGTGTTATATCTGTAAAATCCTGCTGAGCCCCAGGTCACTAGGACTTTTTCCTCTGTTCTCTACATTTCCTACTAGCTCTGTGATCCATTTTGAATTAATCTTTGCATAACGTGTGAGGTTGAGGTTGAGGTTCACTTCTGTTTTATTGTTGTTAGGTGCCACCAAGTTGCTTCTGACTCACAGCGACCCCGTGTACAACAGAACGAAACACTGCCCGGTCCTGCGCCATCCTCACAATTGTTGCTATGCCTGAGCTCCTTGTTGCTGACACTGTGTCAATCATCTCGCTGAAGGTCTTCCTCTTTTTCTACTTTACCAAACACGAGGTCCTTCTCCAGGGACTGATCCCTCCTGATAACGTGTCCAAAATATGTGAGACATAGCCTCGCCATCCTTGCTTCTAAGGAACGTTCTGGTTGTACTTCTTCCAAGACAGATTTGTTCATTCTTTTGGCCGTCCATAGTATGTTCAATATTCTTTGCCAACATCACAATTCAAAGGCATCAATTCTTCAGTCTTCCTTATCCATTGTCCAGATTTCGCATGCATACGAGGCAATTGAAAATATCATGGCTTGGGTCAGGCGCACCTTAGTCTTCAAGGTGATATCTTTGCTTTTCAACACTTTAAAGAGGTCTCTTGCAGCCAATTTGCCCAGTGCAATGTGTTGTTTGATTTCTTGACTGCTGCTTCCATGGGTGTTGATTGTGGATCCAAGTAAAATGAAATCCTCAACCTTTTCTCCACTTATCATGATGTTGCTTATTGGTCCAGTTGTGAGGATGTGGGTTTTCTTTATGTTGAGGTGTAATCCATACCGAAGGCTGTGGCCTTCGATCTTCATCAATAAGTGCTTCAAGTCCTCTTCACTTTGAGCAAGCAAGGTTGGGTCACCTGCATATTGCAGGTTGTTAATAAGTCTTCCTCCAATCCTGATGCTGCATTCTTCTTTATATAGTCTGGCTTCTAGGAATATTTGCTCAGCGTACAGATTGAGTAAGGATGGTGAAAAGATAACCCTGACGCACACCTTTCCTGATTTTAAACCACGCAGTATCCCCTTGTTCTGTTCCAACGACTGCCTCTTGGTCTACGTACAGGTTCCACATGAGCACAATTGAGTGTTCTGGAATTCCCATTCTTCGAAATGTTATCCATAATTTATTATGCATAATTTGTTTTGCGTAAAGATGTCTTATTGTTCCAACACCATTTGTTGAAAAGACTCTGTCTTTTCTCCATTTAATTGCCTTAATGCCGTATTCAAAAATTAGTTGACTACTGATCTATGTATTGATACCCTTGCCAATAGTACATGTTTTTTTCTGCATCCCAGTCTTTCTCCTTTACTCTTGGGACTTTGATGACACAAATTGAGATCCTCTGATATTGCTCCTCAGGTCTTTGAGGCTCTGTTAATTTTTCTAACATTCTTTCTCTCTGTTGTTTAGATCGGATAATTTCTATTGACCTGGCTTCAGGTTTGTTGTCTGTTTCCTCTGTCACCTCCGTCCTGTTCTTGAGCCCATCCAGTAAGTTTCTGTATTGTTTATTGTGATTTTCATTTCTAAAAGATCTGTTGGGTTTTGCTTTATATTTTCTGTTTCTCTGCTGAGCCTTTCTATCTTTCCGTTTGCTTAGGAGTGTTCCCCCGTGTTGGAAAGTTCTCTAGGAACTTCGTCAGTGCCTTGGCCAGATAATCCCAGTATCTGGGCCGTCCCAGTATCAGCACATCTTGATTTTCTTTTCCCATGAGCATCAAGATTTTCCTGGTTCTACGTAACCTGGATTCTTCTGAGTTACATCCTACACATTTTTGAGATCTTATGAAATTTGGGGTTTCCATCCTATGTTGATATTTTTGTTTAGCAGGAAGTCAACCTGGTTGAGTTAGGACACAGGTTCCAATCCACCGTTTGCAGGTTTCAATGTCAGTTCCATTTTCAAAGCCTTTGCCTTGCTCTTCAGATCTGACCCCACTGTGCATCAGCTAATAGCCAGTTAGGACCTGGGTGGTGGTCTACCCCTTAGTTCACTTCTCAATGTCTTTCGTAGGCTGTTTACGATCAGATCGCACATGCCTATCTTGGGGGAGCTCAGGAGTTGTAAACAACTTTATGGGTTTGCTGTCCCAAGACCTACCCTCTCCACAGTCCGCCCAGGACTCTAGTTCTCTAGTCCTCCCTTTGGGTCCTCTGGCCAGAAAGCTGGGGCTCTGATTGCTCCCCCTGCCACTTCTTACTTCCTGTGACTGTACCCATATCGAGGGCCAAGACGTGAGGAGAGAAAAAGGGAAACACCAATAAGGTTTTTCCCTCCCTTTTTGCAACCACAGCACCTCCAGTTGGAGAGGAAGATTCCCCTCCCGTGGAGTTTTAGGCACACAAGGGCCCCCCTACTGCTGCCACCGTTGGTCCTGCTCCTTGAGCCTGATTAGAGGGCTTCTCCTGAAGCTCTTTGTCCATTCTGATGCTCACTTCCAGTTTGGGGGCTGCGCTGAGTCCAGACTGGGGGGATACCAGAGGGAAAAAATGGGAGACTCACCGCTGTCTCAGGGGTACTTCCAATCTTGTTCTTCCTCCCCAATCCACCTGCTACTATTTACTTTTCAGAGTCCTCAGATAGCTACTCCATGCATTCTGTCCAGGATTTATAGCTGCATTCAGTGGGAGAGACAGGGTAGAGCGGCTTACTCCATCTTACCCAGAACCGGAAACCCATTCTTTTACAATTATCTGCGTCCTGTAGACAGTATATAGTTGGGCCTTGCTTTTCATTTCAGCTTGAAAATCTGTGCCTTTTAGTCGGAGTGTTTACATACATTTTAATGTAATTATCAATGTAGCTAAATTACAACCTACCATCTTGCTATTAGTTTATTTGTCCCACTTTTTCTTTGTTCCTTTTTTCCTTTTTCCCCGTCTTCTAGATGAATTGAATGTTTTTAGGATTCTATTTTATCTCCATGATTAGGTTATGACTATAACTCTTTATTTTATTTTTTAGTGGTTGCTCTAGGATTTATAATGTGCATCTTTAACTTATCACTGACTACCTTCAAATGATATTATACCACTTCACATATAATGTAAAAACCTTACAACATTATACTTCCATTTCTCCCTTCCTGTATTTCATGCCAGGGACTGGCAAACTATGGCCCATGGGCCAAATATGACCTGCTGCCCATTTTTTTAAAATAAAGTTTTATTGGAACACAGACATGCTCATTCATCGATATATATCTATGGCTGCTTTCAGGCTACAATGGCAGAGTTGAGTATTTGCAACAGAGATCACATGGCTCATAAAGCCAAATGTATTCACTCTCTGACCCTTTACAAAAAAAGTTTGCAAACCTTTGCTTTATGCTATTGGGGTCAGAAATTTTATTTCTATACATGTTATAAACCCCACAATACAATGTTATTATTTTTCTTTAACCAATTATTTTTAAAGAGATTTTTAAAAGTAAGAAAAAAAATTTATATTTACCCATATATTTGCCATTTCTACTATCCTTCATGCCTTTGTGTAAATTCATATTTTTATCTGGTATCATTTTTCTTCTGCCTAAAGAGTATCCTTAACATTTTTTTGTAATACTGCTGGTGATGAATTTTCTCAGCTTTTGCTTGCCTTAAAAAGTCTATATTTTGCCTTCATATTGAAAGATAATTTTTCTGGGTATAGACTTCAAGGTTGGTAGTTTTTCTTCCAGTACGTTGAAGCTGTTATTTCACTGGCCTCTGGCTTGCATTGTTTCTGATGAGAAGTCTGCTGTAACTTTTGTTTCTCTGTATGCAGTGTGTCTGGAAGCTTTCAAGATCTTCTCTTTGTCACTGGTTTTCAGCAATTTGATTGTAATGTGGTTTTGTGTAGTTTTCATGCTTTCATTGGCTATGTTGGCTTTAGTTTTCTTAAAATTTGGAAACTTTTTCAGCTATTATTTCTTCAAATACTTTTTCTGTCCCTCCTCTCCCACCTCTGGGACTTCAAATACACATGCATTAGACTATGTGATATTGTCCCCCAGAGCATCGAAACTCTGTTCATTTTTTTTTTTTTTGTCTTATTTTCTGTGCTGCATGTTAGATCATTTTTATTTATAAGTTCATCCATCTTCTCTTCTACAGTATCTAACCTGCTGTTAATACCATCCAGTGTATTTTTTATTGCAGATACTATATTTTTAATCTCTAGAAGTTTCATATTTTAAAAATATCTTCTATTTCCCTGCTACTATGATAGAATAGGGGCCCTGGTGGGGCAGGGTTAAGCACTCAGCTGCTAACTGAAAGGTCAGCAGTTTGAACCCACTAGCCACTCTGCTTCCATAAAGATTACAGCCTTGAAAACCCTGTGGGGCAGTTCTACTCTGTCCTGTAAGGTCGCTATGGGTCAGAATTGACTCAGTGGTAATGGGTTTGATTGTGGGGGGTACTGTGGCGGAAGTATCAGTTCTGTTGTTTCTCATTGCTTGCTTCCACTTGCATTATTATCCTGTGCAAAATGTGGTTTCTTTGCAGGAATCATTCATCTGTTTTCTGATATGGGTTTTGTTAAATACAGTGGTATTTAAACAAGAACATGTAATCCACATACCTGGCCAAGGTAAATCCACATACTTGGCCAAGGTGAACCATAACACATCATGCTGGTTTTAAAGCAACCAGAATAGGCGATTTTGGCCCAGCCTCCCTCTGCATGCAGGCCTCAGCCTCCCTAGGACACAGTCCCTGCATGTGGCCATCTGGCACAAAGGCTGTCAGAGACGGCATGTGTCCACCTGTGTCTTCTTAAGTTTTTAGACTCCAAGTAAGCCTGAGCAGTTTGTCTTGAGTGTCTCCCAAGAAAGAAGCAGTCCACGCCGCCTCCACAGCTGCAGGCCGTGGGCGGAGGCCGTTGGAGGTTGGGGCAACAGTCATCCCTACAGCTCTAATTTTACACCTGGGGTTGTAATCTCTATGATCTGCCCCATCATAACCAGCATCTAAAAACACGAAATAGAATAGAAAACAGTAGATTTTATCCCATGCAGTGAAGCGATTCCCACGGCCCCTTCTCTTGCACGGTGAAGGGTCGAAAGTAGGAAAGAAGGATTTTCAAAAGCCAAGAGTCACCAGAGCTGGAGGAAGGGCTTGGGGCATTTGCAGTCCGTGTCTGCATTTTACAGATGGGAGACCAGGGCCCAGAGAGGGGAGGGAGTCTCTCAGCCACACACAGCATGTCAGCGGCAGAACCAGGAGTGGAATGTTGGCCTTTTGATTCCTGTTGCCTGCAGTCAGGGGCTCAGGGGGCAGGAAGGACTGGGCAGCGCAGGAAGGGCAAAGACCTCCCCACCCCCTACTCCCTGAGACAAATGTGGGCCGAGCCAGAAGAGGGGGTGAGTGGCTGTGATGGCCCACAGCGCCAGCCCACTGTCACCCAGGGAGGGCTCCAGGGGCATAGCTGCTTACCTGTCTCGCAGCGAGGACCCTCAAAGGGCCCTGCACACATGCAGGTGTAATTCCCCACCAGGTCGACACACGAGCCGCCATTCAGGCACGGGCCAGAGCTGCAGTCATCCACATCTAGGGGGTAGCAGGGGTGTGAGATGGCCACCCCATGATGGGGGCCTCTCCCAGCATGGCCTCTCCCTGCCCACCTCCCCGCCGAGGGTGGGCCGCTCACCGGCTTCGCAGGCTGCCCCCGTGTACCCAGCCTGGCAGACACACACCGCCGTCCTGCCCTCCACCTGACACTGGCCGCCGTTCTGACATGCTTTGGTGTCACAGGGGGACTGTGCTGCAAATGAAGAGTTGTGGAGAAGAACATGACATTCAGGAATGGTGGGACAATTTCAGGAGGTGCAGCATATGCATGTGGGAGCTGAGTTCTCGCCTCTGTGTGCAGGTCCGGGGTTCAGTTCCCGGCCAGTGCACCTCATGTGTAGCCAACACCCATCTGGCAGTGGAGGCTTTGCATGCTGTTATGATGCTGAACACGTTTCAGTGGAGGTTCCACACTAAGACAGACAAGGAAGAAAGGCCTGGCGATCTGCTTTTGAAAATCAGCCAGTGAAAACCCTATGGAGCAGAATGGTCCAATACACACCAATCCTGGGGGTGGTGCAGGACTGGGCAATGGGGGCGGTGCGGGACTGGGCGATGGGGGCAGTGC